GTTTAGCATGATTATTTAAAGTCTAATAAAATTAGTAAAAAATAAATTTTAAATATTTATAATATTGAAAAATTCAAAATGTGTAAACATAACTTTATAGACATACCACATACGCCATACGTCATCCATCAGATAGACGGATGGATGGTGAGACATGGACTACAGCTGGCTCATCAAAAGACTGAGGCTGTAATGCTGACGAAGAGAAGGGCGTACAACCYTYCCCGCCTCAGCATTRGAGGTCAGCCGATCAACCTAAAGAAGCACCTTCGGTACCTAGGAGTCATCCTGGACACCCGTCTCTCCTTTRGGAAACACGTCGAAACGGTCGCCAAAAAAGCGGCCACTTYGTCGGCAGCTCTTTCCAGGATCATGCCCAACATCAACGGGCCTGGGCAATGGAAGAGAATACTCCTGGGATCCGTAGTCGAGAGCCAGCTGCTCTATGCCGCCCGGGTGTGGGCAGCTCCCGTCTGCGGCACTGCTAAATCCATCAGAAATCTTAGGAGACCACAGAGGGTGGCCGCCCTGAGGGCTATCAGAGCCTACAAGACGGTCTCGGACGAAGCCGCCTTCCTATTGGCGAACATGCCGCCAGCTGATCTTATCGCTCGGGAGAGGGTGAGAATCAAGGGTAGGTTCAACGACGAACCGATCTCAGGGGATCCACCTGTCTCCAGAAATTGGATCAAGAATGAAGAAAGGAAGGCTACCATCGTAGAATGGCAGATGAGGTGGTCCAGTTCAAGCAAGGCCGCCTGGACTCGCCGCCTCATCCCCGATCTGGTTAGGTGGTATAACAGGACGACTCCAGTAGTCCCCTGGACTTACCACATGGCACAGGCGCTCACTGGACACGGCTGTTTCCAGTTCTACCTCCATCGCTTCGCTAGGGTCGCAAGCCCAAGGTGTGTCCACTGCCAGTGTCCCTCGGATACAGCAGAACACACCTTGATCCACTGCGAGAACTGGAACGGCCTACGTACAGACCTCCGTGAGCATACTCGGGCATCCACCAACAGCAGTTGATGTACCTAACATACTCTGTGGTCCTCTATTCGAAGACCTGCCGGCAGACGGCCACCAAAGGGCGATTGTACTCTGCGACGCTGAAGAGACCCTCAGACTCTTCTACAAGATTGTAAAAAACATCCTTACCGTCAAGGAAGAGGATGAGAGGGCTCGACAGGCCGCAGAAGATGATGGATAAAATAACAGTACGGGATTCCAAAGTGGCGGGCTTAGGCCGGCTTGAGAAGACGATATATCAGAACGCGACGTCTAGGATGGCGGACTTGATCGGCCTGAGAAGACAGACGAAGAAAGACAAAATATAATTCATGTGTATATAATTTGCTGTGAAGGGATAAGCGGGCATTCCTGCTTATCCCTACTCAATGTTGTTGAATTTGTAAAGTCATAACATGATATGGGTACTCGCATATATACTAGCTTGCTGAGGAAGGGGTATCTCAAAACTGCTATGAATACTTCTATGTGTATAAATTGATGTCTTTATAAATAAACGATGCTGCATGGGGGCTAAGCAATGTGAAAACAGTTCGGCCTCCATGCAGTGATTAAAACAGAAAAAAAAAAGACATACGTCATACATATTATATAATATATAATATTATACAAGTATTTAGTATTAAGTATATTGTTGTCTCTATAAATAATAAGACAAGCTATAATAAAGCATAATCGTAGTCGTCAATCGTCATCGACCATTTYGACCAAATAAATATTACTGTTTACTTTGCTAATTTGCTATAAATAAACGAAAATATAATTATAATGGTATTCAGTAATCAGTATATTGAAAAAACTGTCAAAATTCAATAGCTCGATAGATTACAATTCACAATATGAAAAAAAATTACATTATAGTGCATACTACATAATGTAAGCAAAAACAAAAAATAAAGCTAATGGGTGGGGATCTGACCCMCATGTCMCCCCTTGTCTACGCCACTGATACATAATATATCACTAACCTGGATGACTTTTCGGGGACATTTTTACAAAAAATATCATATATATTTGTATAAAAAAAACTATTGTATAAATTATTACCGCTATAACTTAATATTTTGAGCTACAGCTTTTAAAAATCTTGGAGACAAAGTTTTATAATTTTTTTCCTCGAAATTTTTTCTAGGAGACTTTTTTCCGTTCTCCAATTATTATTGTAAGGAAGGTACAACATATTTTGGCCTGCCTCTAAAGATGTAAATAATTTTACTATAATTTTGGCACTTTAAATTTAAAATAAATAGTGACCCGAAATTATATAAAAACAAATAATTTTGTAACAAAAGTATTTTGTATTTTACCTTAATGTATTATATTTTTTACAGTTTATACCTACTTACATTATTTTTTTAAATTTAATTTGATTGATAAAAATTGAATTTTAGCACCTAAAGGTATGTAACATATTTTATAATATTTTAAAATRTTTGTATTTTGTTACTTAGTATATTAAATTTAATATTTTTACTTACCTATTATAYTCTAACATATCCATGATTCAGCTGCAATGCTGCAAAACATAATTTAAATAAAAAGTTGATTTTACCCTATACAATGAGTCATTGATTATCATAAATAATTAGTTACCACTTAACTAAAGTCATAACATATTCATTTTTGAATTAAAACAAGTTGAAAGATAATCGATTTTGCATAAAAATAACAGTTTTTTCTAAATAATTTTCATAATTTTCATAATTTTCATAATTATTTTTAGTATTTCCGCCAATTTTGACTTTTACCTTTCAAAATAGGTACAAATTATTGAATTATAGATCCAGTTTGCCACAAGAAACCACCAACAAAATAAAAGTTTAAACATGTTTTTTAACTTTCTGCTACTTATAACCTGAGACAATTTTTTAAAAATTATTTGACAAATTTTCTTTTGWTTATTATTATTTAAAATTAATTAAAAAAAAAAAAAAAATGGAAATATATGTGACTTCTAAATGAATTTTGGTGACGTATATTGTTTTTGTAGATACCTAATGGAGGCAACGTGTTACGATTCAGTTTCCTATATTTTTAACTAAATAGTCTTTCTTTAGAGGTAGGTAGGTCCTCAGATTATTATCAGCAACACATCGTCTATTTTGATGATAGTTGCCTGTGCTTCCTGGGGCCTACTTCCAACTGACCAATTAG